CCTAAACGTGCCTTCAGGGCAATAACATGAAGGAACTGGAGTGAGAGAGTTGTTCACCTGGGGATTAACTAGCAAGTAAGAAGGTTCTGCTGTTTCATCTATTACCTGAGCAATTAGGCAACAGATCCTTTTCTGAAGGAGGTGAGTGCATTCCTGGTGCTGAAGCGTATTTAAATGTATATCACACCAAACACTGCAAAATAACTTGGCGTTTACCAGGCTATGAGCTCAGTGGCTCCTACCCTTCTATTAGAGAGCGCTCCTTCCCATCAAGAATCAAGCTGTGAATATTTTAATAGGTCATCATCATCAACAGTGGATACTGTAGGAAAATCTTGGCAGGTAAAAACCAAGGGTTTAATCGAAAAGGATTAAAGGTGTGTCAATGTTGGTTTTATCTGACATCCTTTCAAATCAAAGTCTGCATCTGTTTGTAGGCAGTTTGTTTCTTGTGGAGTTTCTCTAGTTTATCAGTGACTCAGAAGTACATGAGTCTCCTGTGGAGTTTTAAGAGGGGCTTAACCTATGCATTGTAAAAACTCATGCTAATGAGGTTTGATGCAAAGAAAATCAGATTACTTATCTGTGCTGCTACTTTGCTACTGACCCTGACAATTTAATGGTGATTTATTATTTCTGGCATGCCTTCCGGGCCTGTTAGCAGAATGCTCCAAGCAGAACTGCGTTGAAGTTTTTAGGAGTCCCTAGAGAAATGCACTGAGAGCCATTTCCCCACATCCATATCATGTATCAGTCAGCGATGGCGTGGAGAAACACTCTTACAGCACTGTCTAATCCGTGCCTTTTTTTTTACTGCAATTATTTCCTTAGTATGGCCTTCAAAGCTGTGTGCGTTACCTTTCACCATGACACGTGGGCCAACCTCACGCTTGTCCTGCAGCGTTCTGGGCTTGACTTGGCAGGTTTCTGCTGAGCATGCTAGTTCAGCGTTTGCTTCGCAATCAAGCATGTGTGGGTAGCTGTGTTCTTTTCAGAAGAGCTATGCATGTGCTTGAAGTAAGTATGTGTTTAAGTACCTTGCGGCTTCCAGCCAAAATGGCAAGTACTTGGGCAGAATTCAGTTCTAAGCAAGCTGTTATAAAAGACTTCTTCAGTACATACCAGCCAGCCAGATAGCTGACATGTTACTGGGACGTGGTCGTCCTTCAAAAATTTTCAGGGAAAAGAGAAAAAGGCAGTAGCACTGGTGATGATTTGAGTCGCCTGAGGTCACAAATTTGCCTGTCATTATTATGAAGGGATTAGTGCCCTAGACTTCTGTCTCCTCAAGAGATCCTTCATCCTCTTATTGGTATGCTAGAAAGAAATGAGTTCTCACTCGTGCTTCGTATGTCTGCTTGGAGGGGAGGCAGACACCTTGTCATAGGTGTCATATCAGGTATCGTGCTAATGTGGTGTATAGGCCTAAACCAATGAGCTTACTTTGTGATAAAAGAATGTCTGTCTTGACTGGTTTTATCCCAGAACTGCTTCTGTGCATTTTCTATCTGATGTAAAGATACAGTTCTTTTAATTGCATACGAGCTTTCTGGAAGTACTAGAAGCTTTGTGAGAGACTGCGTCTTAGGACTTGTCTGCATGGTGGTTTAGACTAAAGGTGTGAAGCACATACATAAACTCAAAGCTTATTACATTTGCCATTAAATTTCTTTCTTCGGAAGGAAAATGGCTTTACTTTGTTATACAGCAAACTTTACTTCTGAATGGGAGCATTCACTCTGAAATCTATATGTTAACTTTACACACCTTGAGTTAGTGACCTTAACTTTCCCACGTGTTGCTGCAAAGACAAGCTCTCAGGACAAGTGATGTTCCCAGTGAAATAAAACTTGGTGCAGCTGATACCAGTGACTTGTAATCTGGGAGTAAAATGGAAAGCATCATAAATTCATCTGTGTCTTGCAAGCAGGATCATATGCTTTCCAACTGGCATAGCCAAAAATCTGTTTGTACATAGATATCATTCCTTCCCAGTGGTAGTCACTGAACAGATTCTATTCTGCGTGCCAATGGTCTATAAGAGAGCAGGTGTTTCTATATCTAACGTACTTCAGCTCTGGACCCAGGGCTGTTATTTTGACTTGGAATCAGGGCACATTCATTCCAAAGTCTATGATCCTCACTGCCATAAATACTCTTTTTTTGTTGTTGTTGTTGTTGTTGTTCATGTTTTGCATTATTTTTAAGAAAAGAACACCATGATGGTCTTCTCTATTTGATTCAAATGACTTTCCATACTCTACCTTTGTGGGGTTAATTTTTTCCCCTTTTTAAAAAAAGTTGATTACAAAAAATTGCATACAGTGTTCTGGGCTGAATCTCATTCAGATACTTCTTGGTATTGCTACTGACTACCTACAGAAAAGGTAAATGTAGGTGTATTTGAGGGACTTATCTGGTAATCTTAAAATGCAGGGTTCAAAAAGTAGACTTCTTAGTTGAGTTTGTGTGCAGTTTGAAGAACTCTGGTTTTAATATACAAGGAGAAATAGGTAGCATGTACATGCCTTATACTTAACTGAAAACTCTGAAAGCATTTTAGTTAATTAAATTCTCACAAGCATCCCTCTGAGGTAGGGAAAATACATGATATCCAAGGGTTACATCACTTTTGAAAAAATGTAATTGCCCAAGGTATTAATGAGTTGGATTTACTTATTAAACCAGTATCCAGCCCCATTTGTGTTACATTTGAAGAACTCCCTGTACTAATGAAATGCCAGGAATGACAGTGGAAAGGCTGGTGGTGAAGGAATGATGGGGTAAGGGAGATTACTCACAAAATTAAGTTTCAGGATTTAACAGGCTATGGCTTTCTGAACTGGGTGTCTGTTACGAAGCCTCTGTAATCTCTGAGGATCTTGGGGCTCCCTGTTCTTCTGGAACATTAGATGACAAGTAGTCACAACTCTGCTTCACCTTGCCCCTAATTCACCTTAGCAGCATATGTCTCTAAGGATTCAGTTTCACCACATAGGGTGAGCAGAAATAGCAGCTTACTGTCATTGAAAGGGGGAAATACAGGTCCCTCATCTCAGCCCTCCCTTTCTCCTCACTGTGCAGTTTTGCCGCCTTATCTTGTACTATGAGCAGTTGTTGGATTCCTCTGCAAGCCCATCTAGTTCCCTGAAACAAGAGAAAAAAAGACATTGGAAGAAAAAAAGAAAGGTAGTTTTTTAACTACATTATGAACTAGTGCGATGAAAGAAGAGTGAAACCGTAGACCAAGGTGTTTGATGTTGGATACCAGCTGCCCACTCCCTATGTTTCAGGATGTTTCACATTACCTCTGGTCCTAGCCTGTAGACTGCATGGCCATTAGTTGGGCATTCAGGTTGGAGTGTATTAGGTGTGCTTCTGGAGCACATCTTTCAGTTTAGTTTCATCTGAAACTGTCCGGTTTGTGTGCTTTAAGACTGCTCCACGATGCAAACCAAATGTGGTAAGCAGGGACAGTCAGGCAATTTGTTCCCAAAGAAAACCCCGGAGCTGAGCTAAAACATAGAGATGTGGCCTTAGTGAAGTGAATCAGCTCTGGAGGGGAAGGGTATGGCTTCAAAGCTGGAAGAGGGGGAATGACCTGCTGTCCTTTGGCAGGCTGTGCATCTGCTCAGCTGTGAGCACACATGATCTAACTGCTGAGCTGTTGCCCAAATCTGAGTTCCCAGTGCTCACCTTCCTACCAGCTTGATGCCAGCTCCACTTCACTTAAAAAAGCTGACAGGTTTGCAGTAGAAAACTGCATGCCATGAAAAGTGTGAGGGCTTTTAGCTAAAAGCTCGAGTTTTCTTGCTAACTGCAAGGTGAATGTGTCTGGTCAAGGAAGTGTTGCAGGTGAGCAAAGACATCCAGTTTACACACAAGAGATCACATTTCACTTGTGAATTGGTGCAGTTTTGGGGCTTGCACATGGTTAGCTGTGTTTGATCTGATCATGCATAAGTGCCAAAATCAGTCCTAAAAGCATACTTGCCACTCTGTGCTTTTCGAAAAACTCGGGGTGTGACTCAACTAAAGTGGCCCTAGTGCCAGGTAAGCTCCCAAACGTCAATCAGTGACGAAGATATTAGACAAGTCAGCTGGTAAGCACCAGAGTTGATGAAGCATGGCTTCCTACATTTTAAATCTCATGACTGATAACTACACCTTTTTAATGGGTGTCTGAAGTTTTTCAGACAGATAGATGGACAATAGCTTTCCTATGTGCAGATTCTCTGATTTATAGAAATATTTGGGTATGCTCCATGAGGATAAAACAGAGTCTCTCTCTTCTGCCTATTTTTATAAAAGCTATAGGACCTAAACTTTTTTAAAGGTTCCTCCTCCTCTGTCCTGGGTGGCTTGAATGGGCCAACACTCTATCTAAGCACAGGATGATTACATCAGCCTCATTTCCATAGGAAGCCAGATAAGAATAGGGAGCCAGGGTTAAGATTCCAAAACTATTCGAAGGTGAACCAGAAGCAAAGAAAAAGATGTAGTAAATCATTGCAACACCTACCTTCCTAGTACCTGCCAGCTGAGCAGGGTCCCAAACCCTGTCATGGCTCCATTTGCAGTTTGTGGGAGGAGACGAGCATTGCAGAAATGGATTGGGATTCTGTGCAGCAGATGGGGAGCTGTTTCCCGGGAAGCACTTAGGGTGCATAGGCCTCAGTTGAGCAAAGGGTTTTCCAGATCACAGCCATGTACTTCATTACCTAAATTCTATGGATCGAGTTCCAAATTAATAGGTCAACTTTATAGTTAGGTTCCCAGGCTGCAATTTCTAAACCTAGCTAAGGAATTTGGAAATTTATCTGGGACATGGGAAACCAACCTGATTTGGGAGAAAAGATTTACTAATCAAGCTTTGCAACAGTCAGTTTTCCATGGGGTTTTAATTTGCATAGTCAGATGTCCCACATCAGTTTAATCTTCTTGCAGGCACGTTTTCAGTATTGCATTTTGGAGATGAAAGATTTTTGTGTTTCTTATAGGTAGCTTAAAGATGGATGCTCCCAAAGAAGTTCAGCCTACAGGAGAGTTCACATGTCAGCTGTGTGATTTAACAGCTCCATACACATACTATGGGCAGAAGCCACCAAACACACGCTCTATTGTGTAAGTACAGTTTTTCATATTGCAGACTTCATTTATGCTATGAGCATTAGAAGCCTTGTACTGTGGAACGATGTGCACTGCATGAACCCAGTAATGTGCCATGTTGCCCCTTAAGATGAGGCTTGGTACCTAAAAGTGACTTTCTTTTTCCAAAAGGAGGAATTGTCAGAAGTTGTCAGCATCGATAGCAAAGACAAAAATCAGCTTTCTCATCCTGCTTCAATACCATGCAAAGATTTGTATTTAACCTATTTCCTAACCTCACTGACCACTCTACTGTTTACCTATGCCATTATTTTCTTACTAGAACACTGTTGACTGTTAGCCTAGCATTTCTGGGAATAGCCCTCTCCTCACAGCTGTGTCAGCTGGGCAACACGTAAACACAGCATAAATTAAATACATATGGTAAAAACACTTTTAAAGAGCTGTTTGACATGACGTGGAGTTTTGAACAGCAATGCTTTTTTGCATGAGTTAGACAATTCTTTGGCAGATCGTCTGACATTAAAGTATGTAGAAATTTAGTACATATTTACATTTTAGGAGACTGAAGCCTTTTCCATCTCTGCTAAATAGGGATAGTTTGACCAGAAACTATGCAGTTATGACTTTGTCTGCAGACATTAAACTCCCTGTAAAACAAAGCCCTTAGCTTTAAATGTATGAGTAGCTCTGTTAAGGCCATTCTGGTCAATGAACCCATCGGGCAAACACGGTTAGGAACTCCCTGGAACTGGAAGTCAGGCATGTACTCAGCATTTCACCCCACTAAGACTGCTCAGTTTCTTACAAAATGGAAACAGCTGTTGATCACCACCTGCTTGGGCAGCTGTATTTTTATCATTCCAAATCCCATGGTGCTACTGGTTTTTCCCCTTCTACTCAGCAGAGCAATGGCCCACCTTTCATCAGGTCCATTCTTAAGGAGTCTGGATCAAAGCTGAACATGAATCCTAACTTTAGGTTATCCAAGCTCAGTGTTAACATCTCATCTTTATTTGGATTGCTGAGATTCAAAAAGCAAAAGAATAGTGCTAAAGCATAACAGTTCTGTACATGCATATAAGAAACAGCTTTCTGCACTATTGGTTTGCTTTCCGGCCTACTCACATGTCCTAAATGCAGTGCTGCAGGAAACATACACCAGACATGAAGGCTTTACAATGGCCAGGCCCCTGCACTGATGATGACTACATGAAGACTGTGAATCTTGCAAAGGGAGCTTTGCAAAGGTAATCCAGTCTTTGTACACTAGGAGACTTGTTGACAAGGTGATCTGCTATGTGAAGATGCCTGTTCTTTCCTAACAGTGGAAGGCTTGAGCTGTATCATTTTTTGTTTGAGTGGAGAGGAAAAGGAAAAAGGAATGCACTCACAGATGCACACATACGTGTGTGTGTCTATGTAGACAAGGAGAAGGGAGTATGAGTTAACAGAATACCATATTACTTCAGAATCCAAGTTTGATTTAAGTCCAAGGATAAACCAGCCCTGCAGGGTGCCCTGTGCAGACAGACACCCAACTGACTTCTGTAATATTTTGCCTGGGGCTCCCAGGAAGAGTAAGGCCTTAGTCTTTCCCAGGAAGGTTGCCACATTATTAGTAAATGCACTCCCTTAATATCCTGGAGCAAACAGTACAGTCTGTGGTATAAAGTAAGCATATTTCAGATCATTGCAATGCTCTGTGCCAGTAGCTCTCACTTTCAGGGGGTGGAAACCTTAGCTTTACAGCAGTGACATAACTAAGAGCAGTAAAACCTTTTTATTTTATACTCACATGCACACAGCTTTGGAAGAGAACTTCTAATTAAAATCTGTGCAATTGAAATGATAACTTGACAAGGTACTGAAGTTGGCCATGCTAAGGAGTGCCTATTATAAAAATGAAAGATAAAAAAATACTTTAAGGTAGAGCACTGAGAAAAACATAGTAGGATAATATTGAGAGACTCATCAGTTGCCCTTATTTTGGAAGATAGATAGAAAGTGCAGTATAGCACTGAAGGCTGCCACAGTGTTGGTTCTGAAGAGAAAGGGAGCTGCTTAGCTGCAGCATTGCCTCATGTACACCACCAGGCAGAGCAAATCAAGTAGAAATGGCTGATACCTTCTCAGCTGCCACTATTTCCCTATTTCAGCTTTCCCCTACTGTGAAACCTACTCTTAAAAGCCTGAAATTACTTTCTTACAGGCTTTTGGAAGAAAGCTATGTCATGAAGGATCCTTTCACTCCTGACAAGGACAAATTCCTCATCCTTGGGTCTCATTGCAGTTTGTGTAGCAGACCAGTGTGTGTTGGTACAGTAAGTAACAAGCAAAACAAGCTTCTTCAGTAATTTCTTTTTGTTCCAGTCCCGGTGACCTGATAGGGAAAGACCAAACAGCAGAAACCCAAATTGTGTATTTTTAAGGCAAGCTAACTGTATATTCTCATGGATTCCCCCAGATAAAGTTTGTTGTATTAAGTGAAAATGATCAGCACCTTTAAGTGTTCTATTTACAGATAAGCACAATCCATCCTCACAAATACAATGAGTGCTCTTTTCCACTTTCCGAGCACAAGGAAATGCAAGGGAGATCACATACCACTTCAGGACCTCTAAAGTTCAGCAGATCATACTATACCAACAGTTGATTTTTTTTCTGTAAAGGGAATATAAATGTCTATGGATTGTTAGGTTCGCATCCACAGCACAGGGCTGCCATCTGACTTGCAAGAACTAATGTAGAAAATGAGCAGGGAGGAGAGTTGTACAGTGCCATGATAGCTCTCTGAAGAAGAAGAATGAATTTGAGTAGCAGCTGGTGGGCAACCTTAAAACTAAGAAATATGAGTGCAGCCCAGAAAGGTGTTAGAAAAATACAGTTGTCTTAATTCCTTCTCCTCCGTGCAGAACTGGCCCCTTTGTTTGCTGTGAGCTCAGAGCAAAAATGAAGACAAGTTAATACACAAGTATCAGTGTTCAGAGGCTGTACTGTGCTTCTTTGAGGCAGTAGAGCACATTGAGTAAACTTAGGTTCCACTCCTTTCCCTTGGCAAGCTAATTCTGTGCTTGAAAGAGACTGGGGACACGTGCAGTAGTCGGGGCTTATGCATGATTCAACCCATGAGGAGATGTCACCTGATGGTTTACACAGACAGCGGCATGTATTTTACACCAGACACCACTGCCCTAATAGCAGCCAGATCCTGGCCTTCTCTTTCCAAGTGCTTAAACCTAGAGTGCAGCTAATAGCAAGAGCACACCTTGGTGTTAAGTGTCAGCTTTAGCAGTTTTCAAATTCAGCCTTTTCAGCCCATTCTGTAATCGCAGTGGTTAGCAGCCAGTTCCAGCATCGTGATCCCTACTGCAGGTAACTAGTACTGGGAGTTTTAAAACAAACAGAGCTGCTAAAGACTTTGTGAAGATGTAGACTTTTTTTTTTTTTTTTTTTTTTTTTTTTTTTTTTTTTATGTTTGGTGGCCATTTACAGTTCTGGTGGGACAGAGTAACACCTCTGGCCTCCTCAGTCCATGAGGTGAGGTAATCTGGGCAACTGAGACAGCTCCTATGCCCAAGTCAGGCAGTTTCTGTGTGAGGACTTGAGGAAATTCTCATGAGCAAAACAAAGGGTCAAATTACACTGACAAAATTTAGAGGGTTGGACAGACATAGAGCCAAAAGGAAATTGGCACACTCGGACAAGTTTAGCTGCTATTCTGACTTGCAGGGCATTAGCACCAGCAATGGATTTGGTCCATTGTCCTAAGAGGAGCGTGCAATAGCACATTTCTCCTGATTAGATTTGTTTCCTATGTCTGAAGTCCCTTATTAATTTAAATTAATTTAAATTAATTAAAATCACCAAAACATCAGACTAGAGATTGCAGCTAAGATTTATTTTTTTTTTTTTTTTCCTTTCTGCAACTACCTGAGGACTATCTGGGAGTTGGATGAAGTGCCAGTGCTCTCTGGTTATGTCTTTGATAGCTGGGCTCAAGTTTCCAGAGCCAAGTAGCTCAAGACAGTTTTGTGGAGACAAAGCTCACACGTGAGCAAGACCTGCTTGGTGACAATGTCCCTGTCTTGGCTGGCAGCTGACTCACGCCCGCGCACAGCCAGAGGAAGAGGCAAGCGCAGCTAGTCAGATAGTTTGGGCTGATGAGCTTGATTCCTGCCCTGACATGTCAGGTTTATCCCTCCTTTTTAAACAGCAGAGGATTAGCAACTCAGACACATTTTGGACAAACTTGAGCACAATTAGCTATTTTAATTCCCAAATGAAGTGTCTTGAATTTATGAAGGACTCTACATGTATTTCCAAGTTTGGCAGTTAGAATCTGTCAGAAATAGTGTTTCAGCCTCTCAGTATCTTTCCACACAGTGTGCATTTCTGAATGAAGGTGGGGCTTTTTCTTTTAAAAGATTTATTAATTATTTCAGCTAATCCAGGGCATGGCAAGGTATAGAGGATATTAGCAGTGAGCTAATAGAATCCTCTCCTAATCTTTTTGCCATTCCTGCCTAGTGTGGAAATATGTCAATCATTTACTTCTTGTTATCTGAGTCTTCAAGATTCCCCTGATGGTATCACTCAAAGCAAAACCTTGATTGTAAATAATTGAGAATAAATTTCTTACCAAACTGGCCAGGCCAGATAGTGAATCACACATATGACTATAGTTTCAAAATGTATTTAGCAATACTGCTTAGGTAACATTGAAAGAGATCTGCAGAAATGATAATTTGTGCTTTAAACACCCACACCACAAAATAGGTAAACACATACTATTCCTCTTTCATGTAGGGAAAATTAAAAGTCCAGAGAAGTAAAAACTTATCCAAGGCAGTAGAGAGAGCCAAAGTTAGGATAATATCTCTGTGGATTGGTTTTGGTTCCTGCTTGTGCTTGACCCAAGTAAACCAACTCAGCCCTATACTCAGTGTTTCCATAATGTTACAACACAAGACTTGCAGCTGAAGAAAATAATGCTGGCCTGGGCTTCTTTGGCAAAGACACTGGACCAAACCAATGGAAAGTTTTCAGTGACAGGTTGCTTTCATTTTTATATTAATTCAAAATAGTACTAGACTAACCTGTGGCAAAATTAAGACTTTTCTGACCTTAGATTTGGCAAAGGGATTTGCTTTAATTTGCTAGCTTTTGTACCTAAGGAGGCTTAGATACAGATCAGATTTTCATGAGACAATCCATGCTAGCTGAAGTGTCTTTCCTTGCAGTTGCTGTGCCAGTAAAAGTCAAGACTTAGCAACTGTTCTGTATAATGCTCATAAGTCACTTCAAATACTCTCTTAAATCTCACACAGTTAATTTACTCCAGTCATGTTGCAGTGTACATCACCCTGCTGAACCAATCTTTAGCACAACATACTGGTAAGGGCCATTATTTCTGGTCCAACTGGAAATAATTCTAATTACTATGTCATGTCTTAAAACATGTCAAAACCCTACAAAAAGGAAGATAAAAATGCTTCTAAAAGTTCTTGGGAAGGTAGAGTGCCCTTCTTTCTGTTTCCCTTTCAGAAAAGGGCAGAGAAAATGGCATAATCTCACCATATTAGTAATTTAAAACAGTTATTTCTTTTATTGCGACATTTCCTAAAAGTAGGAAAAGAGGTGGCTTTTGGAGAAGAAAAGAAAAAAGGGAGCAAGTTTCATCCCTTATCTCTCACCTCAGCAGAAGGTGACTGAACACTGACCTTGGACATGATTGTAGGTATTAAGTGATAAACATAATACTACAGCTACTTTCCACTCAACTTCCAGTCATACGAGGTCAATCCTGGACACAGTTAGACAGAACCTTTCCTTTACATAGAATTTCCTTTACAAGTGTGGTAAAGATACTATCTCTGTACTTTCAGACATGATCCATATCAAAACAGAAATAAACTCTAGCAGCATGCTTTGGCAACTCAGTTTTGCCTGAATTGGACCATTAGGTCTGAAATTGAAATGGCTCCCTCCTATCTTGGTCATGGAATGGATGAAACATATTAAAGAATTATCTGATTAGACACCGAACCCTACCAGGATAATGGTCAAAGAAGGGCTTGACTATACATAAGAAGTGTAATTTATAAGGATTTAAAACAACAGCTAGGCTGAATAATCCCACGACTGAGAGGGGAGGACTAAGAGTGCGTGGACCCAGTGCCCACATGTGCAATGGTTTGTATTTATGATTTGCGTAAGTGCCATTGGCTAAAATCAGCAGAAGTTGGCAACTTGTGTCAGCTAGAAGAATGCAAGCTGAGCACCTGTGTATCTGTGAGGAGCTGCATCCTAACGTTGGAGTTGCCCCCCTGCAGAACGGGGGACAAGCCTCTCCCCTCCTTTGCCATTGCCCAGTGGAGCGGTGTCCATCCCTCTGGAGCCACGAACTTAACCTGGAGGTGGGGGGAGCTGTGTGCCATTTTGCAATGCAAACAAGAATAGAGCGCCAACTTAAACGCTAATCTTCCCTGTTTAATTGGCAGCTTAAAGTATTAGGGATACCAAGAGGCAAAAAACAATAGGCTCTGGAGGTTGTGCAACTGAAATACAGTTTCAGGGCTTTTCAGAGACCAAAGCCTCACACTAGCCCTGAATATGAAGGTGCCTGGCAGTCAGTGCAGAAAAAGACAATAGATGAAGAGAAGTTGTTCCTCAGGCTTGAAAGTCACACAGAAGCAGGTTGATTTTGATATAATCATCTGCTCAATCTACTGCTGAAGTCCAGACAGTGACATGGTAAACAAAAGCAAGAACAGAAACACAGAAATATCCAAGATTAGCCCTCAGAGAAAGGCAAATGACCATGGAAAGAGAAAAACTTCGCTATTTAGGTAAAACGCATGGAATCCATTACTCCCCAAAAGATGTCCTGATCCATCTAAACTGATGTCTTTATTCATGCTTAAATCCCCAAGAATAATCCATCAGCAACACCAGCTCCAGCTTACCCACTAAATCCTATTTGGAATTTAGTGATCAGCATGCCAGGAGAACCATGGACTTCAGTCTCGCCACAGGACAAAGGAATAATACATTAATAAGCTTCTCTTCCAGTTGTCTGAACTCTGTACCGCAAATAGATTAAAATATTCCATTAGTTTTGCTTCTTGATATCCAATAACTAACATCTGGTTAGAGCTAACCAGTTGAAAAATAAATACTGGGTCTGTAACACTTGTTAACCAAACCAACTGTGAACGAAACATGTCAAATTGTAGTGTCATTCCATTTCAAGGGCAGGGAGAATACCTTCTCTTTGTGCACAGCAGCTTTTATACTTTGCCATCAAGAATTCAGAGAAGAGACATCAGCTCAAGCTTTAGTACCATGTATGTTTTTAATCAGGAAGTACGTTTTTTCAAGGTAAAGGTGGGTAATGGATGAAATCTTAGTTGAATTGTCTCAGCCAAATTAATTTCACCTAACCATTCTGGTTATTGGATGCCTCTGTGATATTAAGTATTCTCCTAGGGCAATACAAGCACACAGACTAATAGAAAGAAGAGTAGTTTTTGGGGGAGTTACAGAAAAAGAAGCAGCCAAAGCCTGTGAGAGCCTACAGCCCCTGGCCCGTGTTCTCTCTACTTGTGTTGGCCATCAGGCCGTTTTTGTGGAGACTGGCAAGGAAGAGCATTCTGAGGCTTCAAGTGCAGGAACTTGTGGAAGACCCTCCCAGGAGGGAGAAATCTTTGTGAGCTAAGATTTAGCTTTAGAGGAAGACTTCACTATTTAGGTAAAAGCCATGAAATCCATTACTCCCAGAAAGATGTCCTAATCCATCCGTACTGATGCCTTTATTCATGTTTAACTCTCCAAGAATAATCCACCAGCAACACCAGCTCCAGTTTACCCATTAAATCCTGTTTGGAATTTAGTGATTACTCCAGGAAAACCATGAATGATTCCTGAAGGAGAAGCCACTTGTAAGGAAATGTGTTACTGTTCTCTGTAGCAGTGAGCTGATGAAGGCCACGTCTTTAAAAGGAGCCACATGATAGCTGATTTGGTTAGCGATTGTTACAGACCCAGGTTTTTATTTTTCACCATTAGCTCTAAGCAGATGTTAGAATTATTGAATAGGAAGAAGCAAAATTGCTGGGATATTTTAGCCTAGAAGAAGAATTTAATTTAGAAGAATTCTAAATATAAATGTGGTTTAATGAGACTGGAACTTAAGCAGTTCCATTTTGTGTATCCTAATAATAATATTATTTTCTTTACAGGAATGTAGTCTGTTCTACTCCAAAAGGTTCTGCCTCCCCTGTGTGAATGAAAACCTAAAGGCCTTTCCTTTGGAAATACAAGAAGATATGGATAAAAGAAAGCCCCAACAAAAATCCTTCCCCTGTAAAAAAACGGATACAAGAACATAAATACTGAAGGACCGGGGGGGACAGTTCTTTGGCTGGGGCTTCCGCTTTCTCTTTTTGGAGACTATCATGCTGCTCCTTTTAAAGGAGTGACCTTCATCAGCTCACTACTACGGAACACAGTGACACATTTCCTTACAATTGGCTTGGCTTCAGACATCATCACACAGCGATTGCAGTGCCAGCAGTATGGCCTTAAGGTGTTGAAGAGCCAGAAGGAAAGACAGACAAGCCTGTTGTCACCACACAAAAGGCATGCAGTAAAAAACTGAACAGCGTATAGCACAGGAACCATGTCCAGATTTTCACATTTGTTATTTTCATGTTTTGTGTTGTTCTTGACGCTCCTACAGTGTTATGAAAAGGCGAGACAGATTTTTCTGACTTAATTCAGTATACAACCAAGAAAGTCAGTATAAACCAATTGTTAACCTGACAGTGCTATCCTGATAAGGTTATAGTAGGCAAGAAATTCAAAGCTTTAAAGTCTAAAGTAAAACTGTTATGAGTCACAGATACCCATAGAAATATCCAGATTCTTCAAGATTATAGTCTCAATACTATCACAGTATTAAGACTTTGGAAGGTAGGTGCTCTTATAATAAAATACCAATATAATTAAAAAAACACCAAAACAAAACGTACGTACAAGTCACTTGCACTTGCAGTCACTTTCCACTCCATCTTCCAGTTCATGTCAATACAACAACAGGAGAGGACCCTTAATACATCCAGTTTATGATTTACAAGTAAAGATGACTTCCTTTTCACTTTCACATCAGGTCAGTTAATAAGCTTAATGCTTTCCTCAACTGGGCAATTAAACTGCAGCTAGAATAGGGATTTCAGAAACATAGTTTCAGTCAAAAAAGGGTGAAAAATTGTTAGGGAAAGAACAGTTTTAGCTCAAAAATTAGCTTCTCAATTATCTGTGTTGACTTTGTCTTAATTACAAGGAAGATTCAGGGTGCATTTATGTAAAATCACTTAGTCACACACCTTAAGGATATGTCTAGAATGCTCCCTAATCAACAAACAACATTATTTACTCAAGCTTTTGTTGGTCATTAGTTCAGAACCTGTTAATGCCTTGGTTAACATCTCCTGTCTTCTCAACTCTTCCATCCGCATCATTTATCCTATGTCAACATCTAAACTTGATCATTTTAGAATGAACTGCGTGTCTGTTAAAAAAATCATTATTTCAGTGAGTTATTTTTAATTCTTTAGGACATTTGAGTGTCCTAAAATCTGTTTTGTTTTTTTTTTTTTTTTTCTTTTCTGAACCTAGTATATTGATTTCCTATGTTGAGGACTAGAATTTCTTGTTGTTACTAGAGGAGCAATAATGGACCTATTTTCTAAGCTCTAGGTGCTTTAAAACATAAATTACAGAGACATCTTTAATTGTGGAAAAAAGATACATATTAGAAGTCAACATTTCAGATACCTTTTTGTGGTAACAAGAGACTACATTTTCAAAGAAAGTGATATTAAACTTATTTGAAATGGGCAGTATTAAATTTCAGTTTCATGTTAGACACACCAACTTTAAAAGCTGTAGTGTACCTATCTGCTCTGTAGAAACAACAGAGGCATACCCTATGCTAAAACCACAACTGTAACGAGAACAAGAGCTGCTAGAATCATAGCACTTTTCCATCTTAAAATTGTAGTCTTATAATCAAGCTGACAAAAAGCAACGTAGTTATGTGAGATCACATACTATGTTTATACCAGCAAATGTCTTTCTAAAACTTTTTAATTTCCTGTATTTCACAATGTTTGCAACAGGTTGTATCTGAACTCTTAGCTTGAAAGTAGGTTTTAAAAGCCTGACGAGTGCAGTTCCCCTCTAAATGAGAATGTGCCTTTTGGTTGTATGATAGGCAAGTCTGTCTTGGGACTGGGAGATGCAGCCACTAACGGGCTAGGAAGGATCTAGTGTCTCTGAGCTGTTTTCCCTCCTGTTCAACCTCTTGCCCTTTAAGAAAAAAAGCAGTTAACTCATTTATTCATAACCATTATCTGTGTCATCATGACATGATAGAAGAATCATCTAAAGCCCTCAGAAATTACCCTTCCTTTAAGAGCTTGTTCAGTTGAACTGGAGGGGTAGTAGACTCAATATTAACAGGGAGCAGAATCTGTAACTACAGAATTTTTCATTTGGCCCAGGACAGCTCATTTAATTATCCAGTGTACACCAGAAAAGGCCAAGTTAAGGCTGCCTCTCTGCTTCACAGTTACCTGGTTATACATACCTTTTTGGTGAAGAAAATCGTACTTCCAGCAGGTACCACCGAGTGGTTCCGTAGACCAGGGCGGGCAGGTATGTTCTGTCATCTCTGGGCTGTGGTTTAGGGAAGGAGGCTGACCTACGTGCAGTTGGGTATTGCCTGAAATGACAAAGGGTTATTATCTGTGCACAGCTGTTAAAACTTAGGTAGTCCACATCCTCATATTCCCATTGAACATGAGCATTATGGTCTCTGTATCATAATGTTTCTGTATATATGCGATTTCACAGACCAAATGCCATCACGCCCACACTTAGCAGCCATGAGGCCTACTCTTCAAGATATGCACAGCCTTTACAGTTTGGTTTCATCAGGTTCCTCAAGTACTCTCTGCTACTCAAAATCAGGACTTCCATGCTCCTGAGCATAGCTGATAAAGAAACCTGATTCTTTATCCTCTGCTGTAATTTTCACTTTAGCACTCTTCTATCACCTTAATAATTCCCCAGATTCTTGAAGGGAAAGAATTATCATCTGTGACATATCCTCCGAACCAATTTAATTGAAGCCATGCTCAACAAATTAGTTCAATGCTTGCTGAATTCAACAAATGTCTCAAGCTGGTCATACAGTCCGTGAGAATGGAAGGACACAGCAGGATGGTGGGTCAGCAGACAAACCGATGAAATATATAAATATATAGATATATATGCAAAGTATATATGTATGTTGCACACACATTGCTAATTTAAAAGGTGTGTCTAACAGTAAATCTGTAAGCATCAGCACTTTAAAGATGCTTCAGATACCATTCTGCCTTTAAAATGTCCTTGCAATACACACATCTTATTATGTAGTAAACATACTTAATGCAATTTGTTAACAGATACTTGATGCTAACCCCCAAGAAATCTGGGCACTAATCCCACCAAAGGTTGCTTAATCCACTCTTGTTCACTACTAAAAATCAGCATGATTTCTCCCTGGTATAAAGTAAAGCAGCTAAGGGTTTTCTGAAGCAGGGCCTGCGTATACCAAATTAAGGCAAATCAGGTTAAGGTGAAATCCTTCAAGTTCTTAATTACACTAGAGCAGCACAAAACACACGTTCACACCACTGGTACTATCGTGAAAGGTGCAAAGGGTGTCAGGGTTCCAGGGTGCGCCAGCACCCCGCACCGCCCTGCTCCTGACTCTGCAAACATTTACACAAGCTATCCGTTGAAATCACAAGTGGTTGTACAAGAGCGCGGAACAGAACTCCGTTCGTGTACATAAAAGTTACTCGTGTGTGCACTGTCGTCAAATGAAGGACCCGGGTAAGACTTGGCAGCTGCTTTGGATAATGTACGAGGAGCAGCCAGCAGAGGGTAACAAGTATGTTTGTCTCAAAACCATGACATTACAGTGACTTACTTTCCTGGAAATAAAAGATCAGCACAAGTCATTAAATTAACTTTTAAAAATACTTTATTTTTTTAAAACCATTAAGGCAAAACCATATTTCAAATTAACTGTGTTTACATTCAGTCTTAAAGGATGACTTTTTTTTTTTTTTTTTTAAAGTACATAGGTTCCTACCAGTCTCTATACAAACACTATAAATTCAACCTCTTATTTTTAAAGGAGATGGGGAAAAAAAAAATCAGAATGTAAAAGAGAAAAATGTTTAGTTCAAGTTTTTTCATCCTAGATCAGTAGGCTGGTAACATTTGAGAATGCATCATCATATTTAGATATATGTAATTTTTACATTCACGAGTGCAAGAGACTTTGTCTTTCCTATAAACCCCTGTGAGACCGGGACTTCCATTCTTTCTTGAAAATGTCATGTGCACTGTTCTGACAGAAAGAAACTTGGGAACTTGGCTTGAATTAGTGGTTTTTTTTTTTTTTTTTACTAGGAAACAAGCATTCCATGAGAATTAGTTTGGCTACTCCCTGCAAGAAATGGCTGCTCTAAGTTCCATATTTACTGTAATAAAATGTACCTAAAAACTCCTAAAGACGTGGGTGACTGGAAACAACTATCTGGGTTTTTTTTTGTCTTTAATACTGATATCTTTACTATTGATATCCTGATTTAATTAAACACTTGCCAAGTGATTAGGGTTTGGCAACATGAACAAAAATGTGCTTTTTTTTTGTGTCAGATCAGATAACAAACAATTTGAGACGTGATAAAGGGTTTTAACATCGTGATGTAATTAAATTGCTACGTTACATTCCTAAAGAAAATTCAGAGCAATTGTCTGTGAAAGCTGTGAAGTAGCAGGAGCAATGTGAAACGCAGCTGATCTGAGAAGCTGAAAAAACAGACTTTGTCAAGCAGTTAAGAGGGGCGTTCTTGTTAAAATCCGTAATATTAAAGCGTTGGTTAGATCTGTTACTACTAAAGAAATAAACGAAAGCCATCAGTGCACTTCCACCTCTGAAACCAGAATAAAGCGTTGGTGGCTGCAGAGCCGGAGCCCTGGCTTCCCGCAAGATGCATTTCCCGGGGGAGCGGGATGGGCCGTTTCCCCCGCCGCCCGCACTGGGGCCGCGCAGGCCCCGAGGGCCCGAGCCCCGAGGGCCCCCGCCAGGCCCCGAGGGCCCGAGCCCCGAGGGCCCCCGCCAGGCCCCGAGGGCCCGAGCCCCGAGGGCCCCCGCCAGGCCCCGAGGCCCCGAGCCCCGAGGGCCCCCGCCAGGCCCCGAGGGCCCGAGCCCCGGCCCCCGCCAGGCCCCGCCGGCAGCTCTGGCACTGCCAGGCGGGCAAGGGCACGGCCTCGCCGGGGAGGGGCCCCTGCGCTGCCCTGCGGCAAGATACACCTCGAGTGCCCCACCGTGCCAGAGGTAACGAAGCGCGGAGTTGAGCAGCGCTCTCCGTGGTTATTTGCATATGAATCATCCACCCGAAAATTTGCTAACCTTCTTACAGTTCCTGTTGCGCACCACAAACAGATTTTGAATGCTTATACTGCACTCCTACGCAGTAGGAGTAGAACGCAGTACTTGCATGTTGCCAATATTTCAGTTGGCTAGTATTTTCCCATAAAGCCATTTTTTTTTTTTCTCCTTCAAGTGTAAAGAATGCCATGAAACTTCTTGCATTGATCATAAGGCTGGTGTCTTTTCCACAGTAGGGATTACTGTACCTGCATATTCAACCTGAGAAAATATGCCCAAATACTTAAAAGCAACTGTAAGTACCTTATATGCTTGATCTTGCAGTCCTTATTTAAGGCCCAGCCTGCAATCTGATTAATCTCTTGTGCACGCAGCCTATCTCCTAGGCAGAGGCAACTCATCTGAAACTGAGGTCCTTGCAATAGGAATTCCGTTTTGAAACATCCTTGTGATAGAATCTGACCAGATCGACTTAACACAATAAAGGAGTTGAGGAAGAAAAACCCCAAACAGCTCCAGAAGCCAAAAACCATTTATAAAACCTGTAAGAACATTAAAAATATAGAGGAAACACCTTTGCCCTAGGATGGGTTTAGTTAACAATGAATTTGTATCGTGTATTTACAGTGTAAAGTAACATATCTGTTAGTACCTTTTACAAGTTTTTTTCATTGCTGCCCCTGAAATTGAGCAAAGTAGCTGTAGGTTACCACAAGAAAGCCCCCTGGAGCTTTTTCAAATATGACACAAACATCTTAGTGGACAATACACCTGTATGGTGACACTTACCAAGTGGAAATTTCAAGTTGCAGCAATTTGGGGAAATAAAATGTTATCTATTACAAATAAAATGCACTAAGTATAAATCCTTGCTGGAACCTTGTAATGCATGGTGCTTGTACTAGATGCTATGTTTTGACTACTGCAAAACAAAAAGGCATACCTTTAAAAGGTAACTGTGTTACCACATCAGGATTCATTAGCAGGAATGCTGTAGGCACAGAATGTCACACCTGAATCACAGGACACACAATCCCTATGAACAGATTCGTCTCTACAAAACTCATAAAGGGAACACTCCTATACAAAAGCCAACAATGGCATTTCAACATTGTTTTGCACTATCAAATTACATATTTTAAAATACAGCTACAGAAACTGCAGATCAACCTCAGTGCAGGTAGCAGGAAATAATCCTGAATACGCATTATTTCTAGTAAGCCACAGGTCAGTTCCTCAGAAAATATCAGTAATGGAGTACTAACAGAATATAGCTCTTTTTAGCTCCCTTTTCAGGCTTTTAAGGAAAACGAACTACCACGCTGTAAGGCAAAGATGAACTTAGTTCTATAAACTATCTTTCATATTGGTGAACTTGAGTTAAAACGTTAAAAATATTAACTTGAGTTTGGGAGGACAGCTCTTCCTCACCTAGACTTACTTTCATTAAAATGAAATAAAAGTCTGTGTTCTATGTGAAAATATATTTCAAAATTTTGTTACAGTTGTCAGTACCAAACACTGATAAGTTGCAGAATTTGTGATACTTCTTCACAAATGATACAGTAATAAAGACCAGACAGGAATAAATAGCAGTTTGTCTCTGACTTCAGGCCCATCATCCTTACCCCATAAAAGCAAGTCAATCTTTCCTCACTGTACAAAAGGGTTCACAAGATAAAGTATGAAACAATATTTAAATTAAATAATTTACATATTTTTCTTAAAGCACCTCTGTAATATAATTTAGTGAAAGTTTATACCTTGCAATTATATTCTTGTATTTTACAAATTGAAACATGAAGTAATGGCATTACATTAAATTAAAAAATCCCGCAATATATAATATTAATAAACTTAGATCAAACCCACATATAATTTAAATCTCTAGTAAAGAAGGATAATAAAGCTGATTAAACCTAGATAAAAAAAAAAATATATGCAACTGATTATCAGGAAAGCACTTGAGATATAAGCAAGCACCAGATACCATACTACACCTTACATTTCAACACTTACTAAAGGATTAGGGTTTTCAGGGAAGGACCATTATTTGTAAGACCTTACGCTTAAGCAATGTCACAACAGCTGCAAATGCATTTGTCAAATGTAGTTGCAGATTTTCAACTAACAGGGATGCTTTCAAGGAGAGACAGAGCTGAAATTGTTCCTCCTCAGACACAGTACAGGCAGCTACAGTGTAATCTTCTCCAACTGCTGTGTCTGAGACGGTGCCTTAGGCCGTCCAGGCTTTCCAATCGAAATAAGGAGGAAATTCAAATTTAATAGTATGTGACCCAGCTCTCATGATGAATAAATCTCCCCAAGTTTTAGCAGTTTGAATAAACAAACAGATGTTTAGATGCTTATTATAAGCTCTTTGATTTGCAAAGTTCTGCTAGCTCTCTCATGAGAACGGACTTAGTGCAACTGCTGGTATTTCCTAAATCTGTGCGGGCCAGAAATAATGCAAAAAATATGCTCTTTGGCAACACTTCAGCTTTCTAGCAGCTGGCTAGAACCAAAGCACAAAGGCACATGGAAATGGAAATTAAATAAAAAGATTTCTTTAAATGCGAAGAAAGATTCAATTTCTCTAAGTGGAAAACTTTCCTATCTATTGTCTGGCAATTTGTGTTTAAAATAAAAGTGGGTTTCCGAAATTTAAAAAGGTACAAAGGAAGTGATTTTCCTTTTTTTTTCCAAATGGCAGTTGTGTGCTGTTACACTGTAGACAGTACACTTTTAAAGAAAATATTTAAGGAGATAAAAATGAACATTAGATTTTCCTAGCACTTGACACAAAAGCTTCCTTTTTTTTTTTTTTTCTTTTTAAATTCCCCTTTGACAAAGTACCTAGGGCATACCAATAAATAAATAAGAAAACCCCAAACAACCCTCAAAAATGAGTAAGCTGTAGGTTTGTTGAAAACTTGAGTCATATTATTGTTATCTAGGATTTTTCTCCATCCATCTGTTGTCTCTTGTCTTAAGCTGTTTGTGGGTACCTGGTTGTTAACCAGAGTTCTTCAGTGCTGTGATAGTAAAATAAGTTATGTTGATAAGAATCAGATCAAAACTGTACCTCACAAGCCAGAAAATCTTTAATAAATTTTTAATCCTAAGATCTGATCACTTTATTTCCCTCCATAGAATGGGTATTTTAAAATACTAGATGATCTGTACATGGTGGAGATGCTGAGGGCTCCTCAGTAATAGATCTCAAACTAGTTCCGATTCCGAACTTCAAAAAAAAATGAACACAAATTGAGCCATTTTGAAATCTAATTGTCAAAACCCTGCTGCAGTCACCTCCTGAAGTAATGAATATATTTGGTTAAAAGCGTAATGTAAAAATTAAGAACTTGTTTTGACCATTTGTGCTCAGGAAGTGAATTGTCTGCCCTGTGTCATTCTTTGAAGAGACTGTGGGTACGTGCACAGTGCAGCAGTGTGGGCAGAGGAATCCATCCAGAATTTTAGGCTATGTTAACATCTTGTTCATATGTCTGTAATTCAGAGATGCGTTCTTTCCATTTTTTTTTTTAAATTAAAGGTCTGCAATTTAATTTAAAACAGAAATCCAACTTCAATGTCCAAGGAACTAGTCAAAAAATGCGTGCTGGTTTTCAAATAACAGAACAAAATGGATCTGGAACAAGAAAAATGCAAATTACGCACTTTCCTAATGGTGATAATAGGAACCTGTTACAAGCAGTTGCTAATATAGCTAAACATCATGCCTTCCACTGGATTATGCTGTTCTTAATTCTTTTAGTTTTGCTGAGAATTTAAGTATTTATTATTACATTTTCCATGATTTTGAAAGTTTCAGTAAAGCTTTTTAGCCACTTCTGAGAACAAGAACAAGAAAAATAGTTTTTGTCCACAGTGAGTGTGTCTGATTTTCCTGAGAAACTTCAGTACACCCAAACTATGGAGAACAACTTTGAAATCTGCTCTTTGCAAAAACCTGAGCTTTGGAGGAGGAAAACAAAACAAAACAAAACAAAACAAAACAAAAATCAGCTTATACTTTTTTTAGAAGAGAAACTTCAAATAGTTGGCTATTAGAGTTTCAGTATGCCATCACAGAATGGCTGATATTTTGACAAGTTTTTGGAGTAAGCAATTATTTCAATCCTCAACGTCTTATGCCCAAATCCCACAGTTCCTTAGTGAAACATGGCTGACATGAAGAATAAAGCAGCATCGTTGCTAAAATCCTCTTGTTATTTCTGGGGGCATATTATGTACTGCTTTAAGACACAAGACAACCCATTTCTCATCTGCTGTTTCCTGGTAAGACCAACAACCTCTTAATGAAGCATCAGAAACAGCTGTAACCTAAGGCCTATTCTTCCTGTTGCTGACTGGTGACAGGGAAGGGGACAGAGCTTTGTGCACATGCATTTATTGTTTCTATCCTGCCCTAGATGGTAGCCTAGATTGAAGCCTATGCTTCAATATTTTACACTAATTATATCTGACACTAAAACCTCTGCTAATGACCATTACCTGGATAAATAACAAATTACTTTTAAACCTGTAATTTATCCAGTGTCTAGCCATGCCAGCGGGCCTGTAGAGAAACAAACGTTGTGACTAAAGTAAGAATCAGTGTGATGTTCTCACTTCATCGATCTTACTAAATTCTTGCAGTGAAGGTTTAAGGTTCTGAAGTCTTCAAATGTGCTACAATAAAACAAGTACAAAGTGTCCTCCTGTGCCACTGAAAGCTTAATTGTTGTGAAATGCTAAGATTGGCTCCTGAGATCTTTGAGTTATGAAACAAATAATAAAATAAGGAAATAATAATGTGAAGTTACCATATTAAAAAACCAAAAAGAAATAGCACAGTGTCTTGCATGCAACTAGCACTTAAATGTTAGTCTGATAAAAGATCCTGTAAAATGGCAAAGACAAACAGTTTTCTTATGGCTTATTTTGCATCAGGAGTAAGTACTATTGTAAAAATCAGAGTTTGCTCTCAAGAACATGATAAGCGTACTCTCAACTGTGCCCTTTTTCATAATATTACACAGTCGACACCTACAAATGCTGTTCTTGGTAATATTGTCACCCTATCCACTATGGCTGCGTGGACAAGGACAAAATTTGGTGAAATAACCTCACTAATACTTCTCTCAAGAAGGCATAGAAAGAAATATACCCAAGTGGATGTTTGCAAAAAAAAATGGAACAGTATATTCATCAGAAAAGTAAACAGGTCCAAACAACTCTATACTGCCAAGATACTTCTCAAGAAAGAAGGTGCCATTCCTGTACCATCATTTCTTCACTATCACTGCACTAGAAGCTGTGCAGTTGAAATTCTTTTTTTCTGGGCCAGGATCAGATTTTTCAGTCTCTCCAAAGCTCTCACTAATTCCAAATAGTATTTTTAAGTCAAAACCACATCTTGAGCTATTAAAAGTTCTCCAAAATATCCATGGTATAGAATCCTAGCATGGTTTGGGTTGGAAGGGACCTTTAAAGATCACCTAGCTCCACCCCCCCTGCCCTGGGCAGGGCCCCCTTCCCCCAGCCCAGGGGGCTCCCAGCCCCGTCCAACCTGGCCTTGAACCCTTCCAGGGAGGGGGCAGCCACAGCTGCTCTGGGCACCCTGGGCCAGCGCCTCACCCCCCACGCAGGGGAGAATTTCTTCCTAATACCTAATCCAAATCTACTCTCTTTCAGTTTAAAACCATTACTGAGTATGATATAGTTTTTCTCAGGGACATTTCATATTTCCTTAAAACACTTTTGAAAAAAGATTCCAGCGTTTTATCATATTTACTCTTCAAGAAACACCTGAATGGAGCATCTCTGCTCTATTTTAGATAAGTCTTCGGATTGTATTTCATTTCATAAAAGAACCGTCTTTTAAATGTGCTAATCCTAAGGTATACCAATGTAATACTATATGAAACTGTACTGCATTTCATGGAATTAAAGCAGCAGCAGATCAAAGGCCTTTCAAATTTTGTAGAAGTGAATGTACAGTAATATCCAACCATTTGATACACCTAGACTGACTGCTGTAAGAAAACGTGTTAGTCGGTTCTCAGTGATTACCATTAGCCAAAAGTGCATAATCTTTATGATTGTGCATATACCTGGAGAGAATTTGCTGAATTTGCTATATTACTTCTAAAATTACTAAGCCAACAGGAAATACAATTTTGTTCATTTCTGTTACTTAACATTCTGATTTATTATACAAATATGTATTCCTTACCAATCTTCAAATTTCCAAATAAAGGAACCATTGTAAGACACTTCATAAACACTATGATCAGTATTTTTCTGCAGAACTTTTTCAAAAGATGACAAAATATCCCAAATCAAAAGCAGTGTAACACTCCAGTTACCCAGCTTTTAGATTTTTCATGCTCTGGGCTGAGTGAACAGCAGATAACTCTGCAAGTAGTTTTGCTCCCATCTGTTATTAGTATTGCTCTTGTCTTTAAATATTGTGGAAAAAAATACTAAAAATCCTTAATACATATCCCTGTAGATTTCCTGTAGTAAAGGGTGTAAATGTGCATCAGATTCAGTCTTCTTAATTATCTGAACAAGTTGAGCATGCTCTGTGACAAGTTGTCGGAGGTCAGCCATTTTTTGGAGAAGTTTTGGGAAGAGGAAGATGTCATCAGGATGGTTGGTTTGCAAGTGAAGTTTCAGTACATGCACTATGCTCTCCTGCATTTTTTCTATGTGTCCTACATTTACAAGACCAGGACGATCTGTTGTCAAAACAAACAAAAGAATACATGTCATAATGTTATAATTATTCTTGAAAGTAGACTACTTTATAGATTCTATACTGTAGGCCACAGTGTATATTTACATTATACACCGTGGGCAATGAGGTTCAAAATGAATCTTTAACCAAAAAAAAAAAAAAAAAAGAAGGAAAAGAGAAGTTTTCCTTATCCCTTTGTCCAAAGTTTTGTCAATGCCCACAGTTATTTGAGGAGATATTACATACTACTAAATATAACCTATGCTACAAAAGAAGAAAACCCACACCACACTCTCACTCCCCAAACCAGGTGAAGTATCTAGCCTAGGAATCCAGTTCTATATTCTGTATGTCCTGATAACGGAATTCAAACAGTAAGGACAGAAAAAAAAAGCATGTGGCTATCTCTAAAGAGTTCCTCAAGTTTGGTATCAATATAGAAACCAAACCCAAACCCCATATCCTTAGGTATTATGAAATAATTTTTAAAAATACATTCAGCTGATTTTTGAGAATTAGTGAAGTGAGCTGTTTTTATTAAAAACAGCCTGTGATATTAAAATCAGAACACAGGATGTGCATCAGTGCAGAATTCATTAGATGATGTAATCAGCAAGTGTCAAAGATGAGCAAAGCTATAATCTGCACCTGCCTCCAGTCTCATTACATACTATTTTTCTACCCATTTGGTGAATACAAATACTTGCCAACCCAGACTTAAAATTACAAAATCCTCCTCCAAACCCCAAACAAAAAACCACCAACACTCTTCACATCCCACTCTTAAGAACAGAGAGTAGACCCCTCTCTAACTGAGGCTAAACAGTAATTCCAAGCACATCTACAATTCTGCAAAGCAAAATACAGGATCAAGGCTGTTAACAGTTACACAGTATCTTCCATGAAACATGCTAAAAGGGAAAATAACATTTTTAGTGGTAGAATTGAATGTTCAAGAAATATATAAGCTTTTCTATTAAAATTATTGTTTCACATAAAGAACATTTTTAAATGTACAACCTTAGAGAACAAGTATGTAATGCTTACCTCCACAACAAATGATGGCAGCAACAAAAAGGGATATATCGCTATCATCCAATTCCAGTGCATTGAATTTCATTGCAAAATCAAATTTTGGCTCCATTATATCACAGAATGGCTTTCTCAGGCTTTTCAGGAACTCCCGGGTTATAAAACCATTTCCATAGGCTACCAGCATCCCGTCCTTGTTCATCACAGATGCTAACATGGCAAATATGGCTTCATAAACTCCGTATTTTAACAGTGTCACTTGATCATTCAAGTCAAGGTTGGAGAAGCCAGGGATAGATTTGGCGAATTCAGTAAGTTCTGTGACAGTCTCTACAGACGTACACTGGCAGCAGTGGAAGATTCGAACTTCTGCTTCCTTGTTCTGAATTCCATTGGCTACCAATTTTGCCACCAGGGTCTTCTCTGCCATGCACAAGGTATCCATATCATGTATAACAAATGGCTGTAAAGAAAAAAAATACTAATTCAGTTACAAAGTAATGATTATTAATCATTGGTTTCCTAAAGAATAGGAATTTTGATAAACTTTCATGCTAATCAGTCTTCAACTATCAATAAACCATGAGTTCTTTCATATTTCTGCGTAAAGAGAAACCATGTATTGCAGAACTACAGACTGCAGTATCGAAGAACAAGTCTGCTCTGCAAACAACAATGCAAGTAGTAAAAGGTAAATATGTATGACATATCTTTAATCTAGTTTTTGTTGTAGTTATAGTGAAGATCTGGAAGTACTGTGCTTAGTATGCATACACCTATCTCAGAAGGTTCACAAAAAACTTGTATTACCTTCTCCAGAAGTCCAGGTTATTCTGCCTACACTCCTATCGATTCCTAAACTAACTACACTTGATGAACATCATGATGCTTTCCTGAGGTATCCTAGGGGGAATACAGACAGTCATTTAAATATAGGACAGAATATTTGCACAAGAACGTGAGCCCTGTACTACTCTTATGTTTTATTATCAGGTTTTCATAGAACATGTCCCAGCTGATCTTCCACAGAAATTCAGCTCATCTTTCTAGCTACAGTTAGAGCTAAGTCATCTCTAAACCCAGAATCCCACTAGAATTTCAGACAACACAAAATTTCACTCTTGATCATGGTCTTTTCTATAACCCCCTTAATTTAAAAAGGTATGTGGAAACTGATGATCCAGTCTCTTAAAATATCATATTAAAAAAAAGCATTCAGACTTTAAGAACAATCAGAACTCAAAAATATTTTGATACATATCTGAATAGCAGTAATCAAAACAGAGGACAATTCACTGAAGAAAAACAATGAAAACCAATGCTTCCCAGCCTAACAAAGTCACAGACATTGACCTTGAACATAAATCTAGTTCCATAAACACAAAGCAATGCACCTTCCCTGGGCTGTTTTGCTCATCTCAGATCAAATACCATGAGGAACACTTGGTATTCTGTTAGAAACTCATCAAATTCACTTATTTCACTTAGAAAACTGTCAAATGTGCTAGTTTCCTACAGTTGTCCACATCTCGCTTCAGTAGTTAAGAGTTATGCAGTTTCTATATGCATATGGATATGAGCAGAAAGTGGCAAAGCAATAAACCCACCACATTTCTAAACCTTTTAAAAGATGTAGATTTTCTTGTAAATCTTTTTGGAATTTATCATCAATTCACTATGCAGAAAATAGGTATGGTCAAGGACTTGGGAGCTGAATTTAAAAATTATACTTTGTCGTCATCATGAAAAATATTAGTTTATTCTGATATGAATTATAGTGGTGCCAAGAATTAGGATTCACTAAAATCAACTGTTAATGCACTGTTCAGAAGCAGGTGGATTACTAATTATCAACAACAAACCCCTCTTTCTTTTTAAATTTATTTTTCTGTTAAAAAGTCAAAAGAAAATTCAAATGCTTGTTTTCCCAAGAGATGATGAAATAGCTTAAAAAACCTCTCCTCTTGACTGCATAAGGAAGAATGAGGAAAGCAGCCTGTTTCTGATATACTGGGTCTGATTCCTCATTAATTTTTTCTTGTAAATTCACCAAGACACATGCCAGCCACTATTAGCTAGTCAGTCAGGTGACTATAATGGAAGAGCCTTGATCGCATAAATGCAAACACAAAAATTAAGATGCAGTGATCTAGAATCCCTGCATGTATGAAACATATCATAACTTATGGTTCTGGCATGCGGTAAGAAGCTTGAAAAGGACTTTATGCAGATACCCACTTGGCACGGTGTTAGAGCATGGTATTTGCTATAGGCTTATGTCACCTTGTACCCCCAAAAGAGTTTAAGCCTGTGCTTAATTTTGAGCATCTCTAACTCAGTGAAAAAGACTGGGGTTTTTCATGTGTCTCTCTTTTAATGTAGAAGCCTGTGTGCTTGACTAGACTAGATTGTAATATGCCAAATTCCATAATTTAGAAGACGGCTTGCTTATAATTTTTATAACACTCAGCCTCACAGTTACATGTTTTTTATTATGGTATATATAAAAACCTCTTCCCTGCAAATTTTTACTGAAATTAAAATTGTTGGTAAAATACGAAACTTATCTTCTACATATAATTAACATAAAGCACAACAGAATTTTTAAAATTATGCATAAAATGAAGCAAGTCAGCCCTTAAAATGGTTATACAATCTTGTGCTACAAAACAAAAGCAATTGATAGCATTACGTAGACCTTGGCTAAATTATCCTGAAAGAAAAATAACCTCTACAGCATATGTGTCTTCACAATCTTGCTTACTTCTCCCTTTCAAAGTAACCATACAGTAAAGGTCAGGAAGGTCAGGTGAGGAAATGGCTAGAAGAGTAAAGAAAGAATTACAAACTCAAGTTTTCTTTCCCCTCCTGCCATTAACATTGTTGTGATTAAAACAGAAGTCACACAGAGCTCCTGCACAGCCTAAAAGATAATGGTATTTATCCTGGCATTTGTGGCAGAAAAACATTATAATTTTTTTTTCACTGTTATAATAGGAAATTAATTTTGAACCATTTCCCCCACCCATACCAAGAGGTATTCACATTCAGATGTCAGGGTTGTTTTTTTTATATATATATTCAGAACTAATTTTCTTTCACTTATGTGTCTGCTGTAAGTTAAAGATATGAGCTTCTGTTCATAAGTTAATCACCTGATTTTACTAAAGCTTCCTCTTATTTTGACAGTGACTAAAAGCAAGCATATTTACTACAGGTATTCTTTTTGCATATTTCATGTCTGTATTATCATATTTATTTTCTAAAAGATTTGCTTAAGATTTTAACAAATTATTATAAACACCTTATGTACTTGCCAGCTTTACTTCAAAGTTACAGCAAAAGTACTTACTGGATTGTTATTAGTTTTCCCTGCAAGGATGATTCTGGCTTTAACCTTGTTCATATTGAAGTTCTTCAGGTAAGCATCATGAATTCTTTTGGCAAGTGATTTAAGATCTGCCGTTTCTGAATCTTCTACATAATTTTCACCTGTTAGAATTTCTGCTTTCAACTTGGCCTTCTCAGACCTTGGCATTCGTCCAAAACGTATTGCTGATGGGAAGACATAATTGTAAAACAAACGTAAGTTATAGAAAAAAACCTATGCCTTTTACAGTTGCTGACTAGAGCAGTAAGACTAGAAAAACAGAGGTAGAGGTAGTATCTCTATTACGATAAATCCATGAGGAAAAAAAAACCTCATCTTTTCCAACACAGTCAGTGGCTAATTAAACAATATGCTGAAAGCACAAACTGGTATCTGCAATGAGCTAGAACACATGCCTCTTTCCTTATACATTACCTAAGCAGTTGTATTTTGGTTTCTTCTTGTTGTGTTCTACAACTCCCAATGTTAAAAGTCAACCTTGGGAATTCTAAAAAACTGAGTTAACTTATGTCAGGAGCTTGGCAGAGAGCACACATGCCAGCTAGAGAGCGGCCTGGGGAGCTGCTCCACCAGGAACGCTACAACGGAGCTGGGCCCAAATCCCATTGGTGATTCTGAACCTGCTGGGGTATTCAGTTCTTTATGCACTGAATATTCAGTTCAACATATCTGTACTGTCTAGAGAGAATAAAACAGACCAGAGACCCGTATTTATGCTCAAAGGTTACACTTCACAAAAACCTCCTCCTAGATGCAGCATTTTATGCTTCTTTTTTCAGTAAATTAGCCCTTCAAGACTGGAGAAGATGAGAATAGAGTTTAAATATCCAATATAGTCATTGGATAGAGGAGATGTGACTTTTGAAACACCGTTGGGCATGGAGGTGTCCCAGTTCTTGGGCAAGTGGTCTCGCCATTAAGCAATATATTAGGTGTGTCCACATCCTTCAGTTTCAGTTTAAAACTAACCCAGCTCCATTTTAAAAGGGGCGTTACCCTCTAATGGTGTGCAAGGGTTTGAGATGGCTTATATAGCCCTTCCTGCATTTCAGCATCTAACCAGCAAGAGGACAGAACCTCACTGCTTAGTCTTAGCAATTCAGAGCATGTGAAGAATTAGCCTTCCAACAGGCACAAGGAATTTTCTCATGACATAAGGAGGTGTCTCAAGGTATGATCTGAAATACAGTTTCGGACTTCAATGGAAGTCCAACATGGAAGGCCTGTTCAGAATCTGTCCGTGGGTTTATTGGAAAAGTGGAAGAATATCTGCTCTAAACTGAAATGTACAGTTTTCAAGCTATAAATCTAGTTCTAGCTCTTTTCCTGAGAAGTATTGCCTGCAAGTTAGCAGTCATCTCCTTCCCCCACTGCCCCCCAGGGTTTTGCTGCAGTAAAACTCCTCCTACTCCCTTCAGCTGGAGCATAGGTGCCCAGAGTGTTTTAGTAGGATGAAACAGCTTCAACAGAATGTTAATTTCTGCCAGCCAGCACAGCCCCCTGCTCAGCTCCTGCCTCTGAGACATTACTTTGTTGGCTGGCACACTCTTCCAAAGTTGGCTGCTTCAGGAAGGTTATCACCAGTCTTGAGAAGACTATCAACCCTCTCCCAAAGGACCTTAATCTCAGTCAAGGCTCACCAAAAGGGAGCCAGACTTCCCCAGAACCAGAAAGTCAACTCTCCCAATGTCTCTTGCTAGGACTCTAGGTTACAACATCATAGACAGCTTCCCCAGCCATGTCCCTACCCCAGCTGTCTTGACTGCATTGTTTCCTTAGGAAGATTGTCTCCTAACGTATAGCTCTTCACCTAGCCCAGCATTTTCACCTGCTTTTCATCTACTCCTAAACTGTACCTGCTCCCAAGTTCAGCCTTGACACTATCAGAGCTACGTAGGGAAAGAAAACTACTGCATCTGGCCAACCAAAATGTGCTTTCTCATGGCTTGGCCTCTCCCTCTTTACCAAAGTTGCTTAGCAAGCTACATACTGTGCATAAAACTGCCTCGTGGGTTGAAACTGGCCTGTAAACCACAGTCTTACCAGCCTTATTGTAAATCATTAACACAAACGATAACGTACGTTTTAAACTGAATATCTAAATGTTCTGCATTTTTACCATTCCATTTAACAAAACCCACCAGATTCCTGTTCCACAGTCAGCACAGATCTTCACCCTCCCCCAACGCTCCCTGAACCATCTGCCCAAGAGCTGTTGCACTGTAACCTGAAAAATAATGAAGTCTGGTTTCCTACAGATTTCTATCCTACGTCATTCCCTCCTACAATGACCTAGTTGTTCTTCTCCTCCTCTACAATGCCCTTGATCAGAATTCTTCCAGTATTGAAATTTATTTCAATGGGAGTAATGGTGCCAAAGTTCTGGGTGAAGAAAGCAACTAAATGAACGTTCATATAGACAAACAGACATCCAGCACAATTGTGCAAAGCTCATAACAGTACATTTGGCAGCTGTGTATCAATTACATTAACTACTCATTAGGGAAACTGGTGTCCCCTCCAATGATCTATGCCATCAAAATCTGAGGTTCAACTCATATGTATAAGTAAAAACACTATCCAAGTGCCTGCGTCCAGAAGCAGACTCGGTAGGAACAAACAAATTATTAAGGGCACTCTTACCTACCATTATGTGACATTCCAACTGAAAGGCACTTTTGAAAACGACAGTATTGGCACTTATTACGATTTTTTTTCTGAATTTTGCAGTTGCGATCGCATTTATCATAGATGAGTTTTAAACGAATCGTTCTTCTAAAAAAACCCTATAAAAAGTTTGAGAAAACAATATGTAATGTTAAAGAATGTTGACTACTAAACTTCAATCACACAGGTAATTTTTTTTTTCTTTTATTGTTTATCGATGCCTCTAGCTAAACAATACACAAAGTATAACCTGTACAAAGGTAAGAATCTATGCAGTGAAATGCTGTGTATGAAGGCATGTATAGAATGGAAGATGCGGAAGCAGGGAGGAGCTCTCAGCCCGCTTCCTTGGGAGAAGACCAAGAGCCCAGAGTACCCAAGCAGATGTGCTCTTAAGAATTAAGCAAAAAACAGTTCAAATACTGCTTTTGTACACATTCTCTAAGATTCCTCTCTCAGAAATAATCAGTCTTTCATATGTGTAAGTCACACAAACACACAGATTTAACACATCTTTTCTTCATCTAGCAAACGTAAAGGGTATGACAATATAGCACAGTGTATAGAAAAAGCCAAGGACACAAAAATAAGCATTACAGAAGAACCTATATCTCAACAGATCTTACCATGATGTCTTGATACTGCAATGTAAGGTTAGTCTCATACTACAAATTCATAGGGTTAGCAAATTTAGAGACATTGCAACATTTTGCTTTACATGACAGAACAATATGTCATTTAGACTGTGGGCCACAACTATGAACAGGCTCCCCATCTCCAATAGATATTCTAGCATTATTCTGTAAGATTTATATTTGAATATAATTCAAATGTATTCTGACATTGTGCATGAAAGAAACATGTATACATATACAGTTATTTCTCTCACCTTACATTAATTTAGAAAAAAATGGAAAATTAGAACATTAGAAGGAAAAAGAGAAGAATCTTATAATTCATAGGCCGTATCATCCCCAAAATTATACGTTAATGATAACACTAATTTTCCCCAGAGATATGCACTGGCCCCAAACCTACAAGAGGTACAACACTAAGTGATTCAGGCAGAATGTGGTGGAGATGAGATTTGTTACTGTTAGAATGGAAATGTAGCAAACTCACATGCTTCTCACAGCCATACTCCTAACACAAATAAAACACTAGTGGAGCAAGAAGGCTTTGACTTTTAGTCACAGTTTAGTGTTTTAAGTTGGTTTAGTGTTTAACTAACTATATCCAGAAAAGCAGCATTAAAATTATTATTGTGAATTGCCCCTGCTTGATGAAGGTCTGGTATTGAGTTATGGTATCTGAACAATTTATTTCAGAAAAAAGATCACAGATATGTTTATTATTTAAATATTTGTAATGGCTAGAATTATATTAATTAAACACTTCTGTAAAAAATGTTTATCTTCATATAACCCTGTAAATAAAGCAACATGATTTAGGTTCTTAAAAAGAAAATTTCGACTGTACCTTACAACCTTCACAAGCATGTACTCCGTAATGGTAGCCTGAGGCTTTATCCCCACAAATTCTACATTCAATGTTTAATGCTCCACTGGGTGATTCATCTATGCTACCTGGAGCTGTGGCAAAATTAATGGATGAAGGACTGGATGCTGGTGAAAGGGTGTCTAAAAGAAAAAGGAACACTTCAAAAATACTATACTATCAAGATCGATACCATTTCTATACTAAATCCACACAAAAATGAGCTTATTCTAAAACATAATCATGAGTCAATAGTCATTAAGTGAACTAATAATTTGGCCATAAGTGTTTGAAAAGTAATTAATATTTATATTAACACTGCAAACACACACAACAACCAGGGTGTACCCTGCTAATTTTGATGAGACATACAATGTCAACAAACAAAAAGCCTCACCAAAGTAACCTTGATAACAAGAACTGGAAGGGTGATAATGGTTCTTGAAGATTCAAGAAATGTGCACCACAAAATAAGAGAAAAATGAAGCTTTTTTTTGATTTTCCCATGTTCCACTTTTTACTTTGATTTTTTCAAATGCTTCTCAATTTGATGTGAACATGAAATTTTTTTATCCCACAACATAAAATAAGTAACTACAAAGTACTGAATTAATATTTGTCTTAAATCAAGGAAATTTTCTTAGCCATAAAAATGCACATATACCATCTTCACAAATAGCATAAATTTGAAACTGAAAAGCATTATTCAACATATACCTACTGCTTAAGACAAACAGTTCAAAATATAAAAATAAAAAACCCCAACACAATGAAATAGAACCCCTCGTGACTTCCAAGTTTGTATCACAATATCCGTGCAACCTGTCACTTGCTCTTTCCAGAAAGGTTACTAACAGCTCATCTTGCCATTAGATCTCCCATCTCTTGTGCCGTAGTGTTGAGCATCAGATCTATTGCTGTGGTACAAGAGACATATTCCTAGCTCATGCTGCGTTACACTTAAGATACACTTAAAGTCCCCTTGACTTTTGAAGAGCTACTCATAGTTTTATACGATGATCTAATCTGGGGCCTAAAAAGCAGTTAGACAACTTTTCTTTCTAAAGAATTTTCCCCAAGTGAAAGCATTCTCCTGCACATCAGTAGAAAGGCCAAACAGATTAAAAGGAAGGTAACACAACTGTCTGCTCCTAAAATAATCCAGCAACAGAAGCCTTGTTCAGATATTTCACCTTTTGATTATAATGGGAAAAGCATTTTTGAATTGTTGTACAATGAAATAAACTCTCCAGACATTTTACTACTAGCTAACTAACACATTCCAATTGTAATTATTTCAATTAGTATTTCCACCTTATTTGAGGAAAATACTTTCTGAGGCCAGAATTTCTTTTATCTTCCATCTTGCAACTTGCACCACAAGACTTTAGCAAATTAATGGGTGTGTTATTTTAACAGAAAGATTAAGAAACACTCATGAATGTAGGTCAGCAAGTATTACATTGGAAAAAACCTTGGCATAGAACTCAGTCTGCATTGCCAGCACTGCCAAGCCCACAGGCATCAGAGTCATCAAGAACAGCCTAAAACCCAGGATTTTTTTAAAAGTGTGATTCTCATTTCTTTTTTACTTGCTCTATGGAATTTGAGCCTTAAAAGTCTCTATTTTTCATCCTCTCTAACAGCAAAACTAGAATGTTTTTGCAATGAACACTGAATACTCAGATGGTGACAGTAGAAGCTGATCATTGTAGCATTTGTACTCACACAGACAATTTAAAAAATTAATGCCTCAGAAGTACTACGTTATAAACCCAGCATGATAACTTTTCCCATAGAAGGCATCCCTCTAATGTGAAGGTCTGCAACCAAAAGGGACCCAAATCATATTTTACAAACATTCCTTTGGGCAATAGTGCCAAGAGGCAGGTCTGCCTCCTCCCTTCAAAACTAACACTATTAATTTCAACCACTTTAGCACAGAGGCACACCTCAGTTGTACTTGTGCAGTTTTTGTAAGGTATAATAGCGATCACAGCCTGAGAATTGATTGAACGTAAGAAAATGCCAAAACAAAACATAATGTAAAACAATCAGAAAGTTAATCATTAACTGCTTAAAATGGCTCTAGCTGCTAAAAGATTTGTAAAACCACAGTGTCAAAAGGAATACCTTACTGACATTAATGCAGTGTCCCATACCACTTCAATTATTTCCGTTTTGGTGTCCCAAAGCAAGACTCTCACAAAGATCTTTTGACTAAAGCACTCTGAGACTGTTACTTTAACCAGGGTAGAAATCATTAGCTGAACAACACTACTCTTGAGAAGGAGGAGAAAACAGCATGTTCAAAACATCAGTGCACTAAAATATACTGGAATTCTAGGTGAGCTTTTAAGGGTTAGATTACAAATTTTTGGCAAACGTTTCACAATACTTTTCAAATATATGTGACTTGAAGAAAATCTAAAAAAAATGGGGAATTCCTTTAGTGCAATATGGTGCCTTCCTATATGACTACAATGCATAGTAACATCTTTGCTAGTAATAGTGATTTTTAAAAGTTATTTTCAAAAAGGTGTTGATACTAATGATAATTTTAAACAGCAACTTTACATTACAGTCATTTTTTGGTGACATTTGTCTAATAACTTTAGCCTTAAATATTTTAAGACAATGTTATAACCAGCTTATGTATTTCTAGTATCACTTAGTCATAAACAACAATTATTGCATTTAAAAAGTTTTAAATTTCTATCACTATGTATTTATAAAAGAAAGTTTTATGGTCAACCAAAACTCTCTTACCTGTTATAACTGACCCATCAGATCCTGGACCATTTCCCAATGACTGGAACTCTGTTAAACTTAAAGCTCCAGAGCTATCATCACCTAGAGACTGAGAGATGTCTTGAATGTTCTCCATATCTTGTAGGAACTCTCCAGATAAAGGGCTGCCTATATCATCCTCCTCCAAGGGAGTAAGGGGATAGAGCTGGTTTTCAGTGTCCACCATTTTGATCAAGTAGAGCAGTCACTTAAGCTTCTTTACACTGGTGAAAGAATAATTAAAAAAAAATCCTGTATTTACAATATCAGATTTTTTTTTGTTAATATTCGAATCAGTTACAGCACACTGAATACATGAATTCGAATCCAATGGTGAAATATTTTACAACATTCTGTTGCTCCAAAAGCTTTATGCAATACTTCAATATGAGTTAAAGTTATGACAAGATCTCTATGTAGACAGTTGTTTTCTCTCCTTTGCTGATAAAAGTTATGTACTGCGCTTCTGTAGCAGGCATTATGTACTTCTCACCAAAATTTATAGAAAAATAACAAATATCAAATATGCATACATATTATGTTTGAGCACTCTTTGCTCACCTTATCTAACAGTGTTAGATAAGTGTGATTTGGTCTTGTGTTCTCATTGGCTTTTAAATTTGTTCAAGAGGTCTTACAACACTGAAGAGAACAAAATACCGTCTCATACTAAATCTTTGTAGAAGTGGGTCAAACTAATACTTTTTGACCTACTTTGGTCAAAGAACACCTTCAGCAAGACTGCTCCAGCATGTACAATCTGATATATCTGTAATTCCTAGAGTTAGTTTTATGTCCTGCAGTGAAGTTTTTAAAGTTGTCTTCAAAACTAGCCACCAGTGTCATCAACTTACAGTAACAGCACAGATTCCTAAGAAAATGTTGCAACTTTTAATTATTCTTCTACTGACTTGCTGGATAAAGAATTAGTAAATGTACTGCTGAACATTACTACTGCTGCATAGACATACTTCTGCTAAAAGAAACTCATCTTTTACACCAAGTAACTAATACCTGCGTTCTACTCAGTAGGCGTACAAACACATACTGCCGCAGCCTCGTCCACGCAATGAATATGCAGGGGCAGTCAGAGAAGCTCTTACTGTTACTGTGGTTACTGCGCAACACTGGCCTCCACACCGGGCACGTGTTCACTGCAGTTTATTGTGAAGCCTGAAACGGCCAATAAATGGCTATATGGGGACATACAAATGCTGATTTTACAATAAACGTGCTATGTTAAGATAAAAAAAACCCAACAAACTCTTCCTTGATGTTATTTAAAGTTGCAAATGCCAACTAGTTTGATTCCTATGACACTAGACATTTTATATTAAGAAATCAATCCTTTTCTTTGGTAATGTGTGACAGATTCATCCTATGAAAATCAGACATTTATCCCGGAGGAATAAAAATGTATTCTTTTGTCTATGTAACTGACCATAAGGGTCCAGTTAAAAGTAATACGAAGTGCTGACTACTGCTTTACATATTAATGACAAAAGACAGCCATCACTTGTATTCAGTTATATAAAAAAACCCTCAAAATGTTTGGAAGCAAGTTATCGACAATCAAGCTTCTTATATTCAGGCTGATGGCAAAAGTCTGCCTTCAATTATATTTGCATAACTTTGCAAGGTATTTACATAGATGTAACTGAGGGCAGAATGACTTACACTAAAGAAGACTAAAAGTTATGCTTGTAACAACCTCCAATGTGCACAGTTTTTAAATGATTTGATTTTCAGGTGCATTTATTAGTGCAAACTCCTACTTTTTTCTGCTATTTCATGGAAAACCAATGGTGCATATATATCACTCCTACAGCATTTTCCAATGTGTTCATTACATGACCAAAGAAAAACAAACATTTAAAAAAAATAAAACTGTATTACATAAGGCTTTCTATTCCACAACTTGCATCCTTCCAGCCAGTCAGTATTATTTAAAATATATAATTAGACTTGGCAAAACTTTTATTTCATTTTCAGAGTACCCAAATTTTTAAATTGTGATACCAAATGGCTGCAGTGGTACATCCTATGTACCCATTATGCATTTTTAGCCAAGTGAATAGACAGAAAAATGTTAACCCCTCAGGTACAAGGGGAGATTGAAATTGTAGTGTAATCATAAACTTTGATACTTAGAACAAACCAATATGTTTTATATATCCTTGGGCAACTTGTTACAGTTCTATGCATCATTGTACCTGTTTTTGAAAGAAACAATGTTGAGGCTAAAAAGAGAGTTTATTCAAACAGTGTCTAGTCAGACTCTCTTTCTAACCCAAATATCATTGTAGAGCAAAGATACAGATTTTTTTTTTTTCCCCAGTGTAATAGCCTACCATATACCTGGAAGGCTAAAACTAAAGGAATAGCAAAATCACACAGCAAAATCCAGAGCTTCCACTCATTTTACTCAGTTCACAGGCTAAAATGAAGTTCTTTATGAAAGTAAGCACTGAAGATTTCAGGATCTGCCCAGCATAACTGAGATGAAGTTTTCAGAACGTTCATTGTATTTTGATTGTATAAACCAAGCCAAATACAATAGTCAGTTCTGAAGGTTGAAGACTAAAAGGAATCACAAATTATAAGTATCATATCTCTAAACATCTGATTTTATAAATCAAATGAGGTAGAATTCCACTGTCCCTTCTTCAGTAGGAAAAAAACCCAGATGCTGTTACTATTACACTTGCCATCCCATACTACCAAGGACCCTTAGTAAAGATCCATTTGCCCAATTTCTCTGAAACAGGATAATTTCACCTAGAAAAGGAAAATATGTTCTGTATCACATGGTGAGGCAAGTAAGAATATCTTGGAGACTAAGAATGTGAATTCATCCATGATTTCTAGCACCAGTTACAGACAGCAGATATGTTACTGTTGATTTTACTTGGACATGTCACATTGCTAGTCTATCACTATGCACAGCTTGGCTGTATTTAAAAATAACTGTCAAGTTAAGTTATCCAAGTTGATATATTAAATACTCATTAGGACATTGTGCCAGATTGCCAGCACTGTAATAGCATACTTATAAGCACTATAAGAGTTTTCATGCACATCTCAATTTCTTTCTGAAGGGATCAGTTGAAAGGCTGGTGCTGCTTTTTAAGAGCATCCAAGCAATACTGAGTGTGATGCCTAATTATTTTACAATGTAACAGAACATTATACTGGTAAACTGAAACAAAATAACTTCTTACCCACAGAGGACTGAATTGTAATTGCTATCAGTTTTATTCCCTACAGAATTTCCATAATGTGAAATTATTTAGTAAAATAAATTCCAATTGTCACTTTATTTTACAGCTCAACAGTTGCCCTGTCTCCAAGATCCACCTTCATTTCTCTTATAAATCCTACTGGCTTGTAACCTATTAAGAAATAGCTACATTTGACACCCATAAACCTGTCAGAAGACATAAAATAAAAATTAAAATGACTGTACCATACATGACCATAGTTATTGAAGAAAAAAATAATCAGCAATTATATGAATGAGGACTCTAAATAAGACTGCTAAAAAAAAAAATAATTAGCCTAATGCTTTAGGAATGTACGGTCACACACGAAAGGAAAATAGCACAGATTATTGTAGATTATCTGACAAAGATTTTATTGCTAAACCATCTGCATGTATTCGGAACAATGCTTCCAATCTCATGAAGACTCAAGATGCAGAGTAATTTTGCAGATGCAGAGTGCCTTACAAAACATTACTTTCACAATGTATGAAAAACAAAGAATCAACTGCAAACATTTCTGGTCAACCTCATCTGTTATGTTCAGACAATACTTTCAATCTTGAATAGCTTTGTACAATTTCTCTGCTGAGGCAGCATGAACCAGCTCAATAACACCTGGAACTAACTACTATTTGCTGTTCGTTATCTAACAGAGTCCAAAACATTACATGATGCACCTGACATAACTGGAAGATAATATACTCCAGCTGAGAAGTGAGAAATCACATTTATGTATTTTTTTCCTGAAAACAAAGTTAAATTGCTATCCATGTGACATGGCTATTTTGTGGTGAGGGAAAAAGTCTAAAGAAACCTTGACATATGTTGTTTTTGTAACAATAGTTGAGAATAGTTAACAACTGTTCTCTAGCAATCCAGAGAAGACTACCAAATTTGCCTCCCCAAGGAACCATCAGCAAAAAAGGAAGAAAGCAATGGCAGAGCATACGACCAGCACTGCTCCTCCCGTGTGCTCTTTGTTATGTTCTCCCAGGCTAAACCAGTTGTTCACAGCACAGAAACATTATATTCCTCTGTAGATATGCTGCACGAGTACTCTGCCCCAGGATATCTGGAGAGGTTCTAGGAGGTACTAGGCTCCTTGTAGCCAGCATTACTTCAAATTCCCTACCAAATCACGTACATCTCGCCAATTACCACTTTTTTGTCCAGCACAAGTATATTTTAAAAGATTAAGTGAACACTGAAGTCTACCTTGAAATAAAATAGGCATTTTCTGACAGGAAAGCAAAGGCTTGATAGCTGAACTCTGAACATGGCAACAGCTCTTTCAGCAGCATGCCTGCTGCTGCCCAAATTGCACCATACTTGTCCACATTTACAATAAATATTTAAAATTCATCAGTCTTTTTAGCTGAATTTATGTAAGAACAACCTAACAGCTAGTGAAACATAAATGAAGTCCTTATTGTTTTCAGTATTAAATTACATACCCTTTTGTACTTTCAAACACTGTTAGTAAATTACAGCTGCTTAATCATTATGGTTCTTGTCACTGATTAACTAGCTACCTTAGCAAGCATAACCATTACATAACCATTTCTGAAGACTGTCAAAATATACTAATCTTTTCATTACTGAAGAAGTTGTTGTTTTTTTTTTTTTTTTCGTAAGCACAGAAAACTTAGAAGTAAAATGTCTAATATTCATGCCATAAACTGTTTGCCTTCTGTCTTCTCTGTATTTTGTGCATGTTTACACATGTATATGCTTCCACTGGCAGGTTTCACTTACTATGCATTGATCCTTGCTTGTATGAAAACAAAGCTTCTAAAGTAAAACAGTTAATGGGTATGAAGTTCATTTAAGTAATATTCACAGATAGTATTTTGCTTTACAAAAATAGCTGTACATGTTACAACAGTAGATGTGGTAGCTGCAGCATGATGACTCCACTCAAGCAGCTGTATAAGTCAGTATTTCTTCCTACTTGGAAGACT